ACCATGAGGGATTGAATTAAGGTCGTCAGACTTGGTGGCGAGTGCCTTTACCTGCTGAGCCATCTTGCTGAACCTTTTAACTTTTAGTTAGGTATATCTTTATTTTTTAAATGGGTTTCTTTTATTATTATTTTATTTCATTTTGTGTATATGAATGTATCGCCTGCATGTATATAAGTGCCCCTATGATGTGCAATGCCCATGCAGGACAGAAGAGGGCATCGGATCCCAAATTGGAGTTACAGATGGTTGTTAGCCACCATGTGGGTGCTGGAATCTGAATTTGGGTCCTCTTAACTGCTGAGCCATCTCTTCAGCCCCTTAAATGGGTTTCTTGTATGAGTATATAGTTGGGCCACATAGCCTTTCCATTAAAAAATGTTTAATGTGATGTTTGGGTCAAAATTGTCACTTGTGCTGGGTATGGTGATGAACACCTTTAATCTCAGCACTTGGGAGACAGGAGCAGATGGATCTCTGTGAGATCAAAGCCAGCCTGGTCTACATAATGAGTTCTAGGCCAGCTGGGGCTACAGGGAGATCCTGTCTCAAACACAAGCCAACCAACTAAAAAACAGTCACTTGCTATTTCCTTTATATTTTCTTATCTGTTTCATTTCTTCTTCTAGTTTTTAAATGTCTTGGAGTGTTTTTTTGTACAATTTATTTTTCTGAAAATTGAAGCTATGTACATGTGGTGCACATATTTTGTTATGTGTATATTGTTAAATGATCAAAACCAAGCTGTTTAACATGTTATTGTAATACATACTTTTTTGTAGCTGGGACACTCAAAGCCTACTCTTTTAGCATTGTTCAAGTATATGACACATTGTCATTGGACACAGTGGCCATGACAATCATTATATAAAACAGTTCTCATGAAGTTATTTATCCTATCTGAATTTTTGTGTTCTTTGACCATCTCCCCAACTCCCTTTCAAGGCTCATAACCATTATTTTATTCTCTGTTTCTATGAGTTTAGCTTTTTTAGATTTCACATGCGTCTGTCGTTGTGTTTGGCTTATTTCATTTAACACAATGCCATCTAGGCTGATCTATGTTGTCACAGTGATGGGATTTCCTTCATTTTATCGGGCATAATAGTACTCCATTCTGTGTATGTCCCACCTTTTCTGCATCTGCTTGTGCTAGTGGATGCCCAGGTTGATTCCATAGAATGGCTTTTGTGACTATTACAATGAATATAGGATGCAAGTATCATTTCAACATTCTGACTTCACATCACTTGGCTATACCCCCAGCCTTGGGATCACTGGATCATATGGCTGCTCTTTTAACTTTTGAGGACTGTTCATACTGTTCTCCAAAAAGGCTGCATTAATTTATACTCCACACAGCATAGAATTCTCCTTTTTCCAGACCCTTGTCCACATTTACCTTTTGTCTTTTTAGCAATATTCAGATATGACCCTTCTGCTTCTGCTTCCCAAGTGCTGGTATTACAGGAGTGCACTGCCACTCCTGGCTTGAACCTGTGGTTTAATTGCATTGAGCATTTCCCCCCACATACTCATTGGTCATTTGAATATCTTTTAAAAATATTTATTCAGGTCCCTTGCACATTTCTAAGTTGAGGTTTCGGCCTATTGAGTTATCTAAGTTCCTTATACATTTTGGACATTAACTCAATCAGACGGGTAATTTCCAGAACTTTTCTCCCCCGCTGTGGGTGGTCTCTTCATCTGCCGACTGTGTCATTATTTGAGTGTTTTAGATGAATACATTTAAAACATTCCATCCTATGCTGGCTCTTTAGCTGTAACCATTGTGTATTTTGGGGGACTGAGTCAAAGTGTATATATAGTGTGCCTCTGACATGATAGTCCATCTTACAGTCACAGGAAACCACACATTTGGCATAAGCACCCTACAAACACCCTTCAGGCTTTTGTGCTGTGTTACTGTAAGTTTTGCTTTCACGTTATAGGTTTTACACTACATTGCTACTATTTTGACTCTTAAAACAGTTTCGCTTTCTGCATTCTTGATGCCTTTGGGAAGACGTAGAACCCCATCTGATACACTCTCCCGTCCGCCTGGAAGCCTTCCTAGGGCGCTTCTTGTAAATCTGTAAGTCTCGCAAGTCTGCTGGTGATAAATTCTTCAGCTTTTCTATGTCAATCCTCTGGTTTGTAAAGATAGTTCGTCTGGGTATAGAATCCTAGTTTAACAGTTTCATTTTTTCCAGTATTTTTCTGGCTTTTTTCATTTCTGATAATTTGTAATTCTTTATTTTCATGTCTTTCCCCTCCTACAGCTGGTTTTGTAATAGCCACCATTTCAAAGCAACCTATGAAAACCTCGCATAATTTTCTTTGGTGTTTGATGAACATTTGGGGTCTATGAGCTTATGATTTCCAGGAAAAGTTTGAAAAATTCCATCCATTCCACCTTCAAATGTCCTTTTCTCCATCCCCTCTGTAGGGCTGCCTCAGAGTAGACTGAGATGGTTCCAGAGCTCGCTGACCCAGTATTCTTTGTTTCAGTTGTCTTCTGTTTGTTTCAGTCTCTTTCGCTGTCTTCAACTCTACCATCTTTTTTCCTGAAATGGCTAATCTCTACCAGTTCCATCTGGCATGCTCTTCTCCTCAGAAACTGTAAGACACTGAACATGTCTTGATGTCTGGAAACGTTTCACGCTGCATTTCTTCACCTACTCCTTCCTCTTTCAGAACGTACAATTGTTCTAGTCAATACTGACATTTCTGACTCAGTATTGACTTTGTCCTGTTGTTACGGGTTGTATTTCCCTGCTTGGCAGCAAAGCAGCATTAAGTCTAGGGTTAACAGGCAAACTGTTCTACAGCTGGTTGGGGCAGGCTGGCTCTGACATGGAATATGATGATTCCCTGGGGTATTTTCAGGTGGCACCTTTCAGGTAGGTTTTGTCACAGGCTTGTGCCCATCTGCCCCTGGAGCTCTGATCTGCACAGTTCTCTCCTTACAGCATTCTGCCCTGCAGGCTCTACTCATCTTGGTCTCCTGATCTCTCAGTTCAGTGTTCTCTTCCCCCCAACCCGCACCGTGTGTATGTATACATGCACATGTAGAGGCCAGAGGTCAACTTCAGGGATCTGGGGCTCACCAATTAGGCAGGGCTGGCTGGCCAGTGAGCCACAGGGATCCTCCCGTCTCTGTCTCTCCACTGCTGAGATTACAGGCATGTGCCACTGTGCCTGTTTTCCCTAAAAAAATTTCCTTTATGTGGGTTCTGGGGATTGAACTCAGGTCCTTATGCTTAATGACAAGCACTTTACCAACTGTGCTATCTCCCCAGCCCATTTCTGGCTTTTTAATAATGGAACTCAGATCCCCGCTCTGCCCCCTGCCTTCCTGTACTGCAGACTGGCAGTTCTGTCTAGGTAGAGGGCTGGGCCAATCACATGGTGCATAGTCTTTCATTGGCTGATACCAACATCTGCAAGGCACTGATGACAACACAAAAACCCTCCGCATGGTACATCTGTTGAAACACCTCTGGGTTCCCCCACTTTAGCCCTTCCACCTCCTCTTACTCCCACCTGTGCCATTTCACCCACGTTTCATTACTGATAACCTCTGAAAAGATCTTTCTGGCTCTATCCTTCAAGCCTTTCTAAGCATTTCTACTAATTTTTTTTTTTTTTTTTTCCTGGAACTCACTTTGTAAAACCGGCTGGCCTTGAACCCAAAAAAACCTACCCTCTTCTGCCTCCTGAGTGCTGGGATTAAAGGCGTGTGCCACCACACCCTGCAGGTATCCTTTTTTAAACTGCTCTTTCCCTATAACTCGGACTCTGATGTACATTCACACTCAATAAATAAGCTGAATTAAGGATCAGACAGAGATCAAGTTGAAGCTGTGGCTGCCAATACTTTTTGTCTTTTGGTTGGGTCTTGCTGCGTATCCCTGGCTGGTCTGGAAACTGCAGCCATGCTCCTGCTTCCACCGTTTTAGTGCTAGGAGCACATGCGCACACCACCACAAACTGGCAGTGTGACTTGTTATCGATGACCTCAGTGAACCTGGACACTCCCCAACATGTTTCCATTTCCAAGTGCCTCACAGCTCCGCCTCTTTCCCTTCACGTGCTCCTTCTATCTGGAGGGCCTTTTCCTGACCTGTCTTTCTACTAGGCCGTTCTTTCTGGCACCCATTCAGAAGTCAGTCTCCCCTGGATTTCTTATGAGCATCTTTTCTGGCTGTGTGTGTAGTACATCATCTTCCCAAAAGGACCAGTCTGGGCAAGTTAGGAACCACCTCTTAAAGTTGTGGTATCCATCTTAGGACAGTTCTCACTATAGGTACTCTGAAACCAAGGCGGAGACCATCGGGCAACCGTAAGTATGGGGCAGCGCTGCGCAGTCACAGGAAGCTGGGCCTCCCTGTTGGGCCACTTTGTTTTCCCACTGTCAGGCCTTTTGTTGAAAAATCACCTCATAATCAAGTCTACTGAGTTTCAAATCAAATTTGACCTCACAGAATATATTATTGGGCCAAGATTCTGGAGCAGATTTCATCTTCATCTTAGCTTTCTTTATCAAACAAAACACTGTGTCTGAGAGTCTAAGAAATAACAGAAGGGATTCATGTCCTGTAGCATCTCCACAGAGCCAAGGAAACCCTGACATCATGTACCTGGTGAACATAAACTGCCGTTTATTTATTCAAACATATTAAAATTCTCTAAGTCTTCAAAAAAGTTATCACGAACACATAAAATGGAAAATATAAAGTGAATGTCAAGATTTCAATTTTAGTTCTTAAAAAAATACTGAAGTAAAATTCCTTCCCACAGAATACAGGAGCTGACCAGGGTGAGAAAATACAAGAAACACCAGCTTCTGCCTTGAAAAAGGCTCAGATCCACACTGTGGAAAGTGTTTCAGTGACCAGATTTCCTACCCGCAGCTTTCCTGTCATGACATCCTGAAAACCTACCCAGCTTCATGGCTTTGCCAACCAGACTCAGAACACAGGAAGGAACGCACGAAGAATGCCTTCTGAGCAGAAAACAGGTGATGCGCACTCAGAGAAAGAACAAAAGACAAGTGCTTTATTATGAGACCCGTTCAAGTAAAATTCCGTGTGCACCGTGAGAGTGAGTGGGGATTTGCATCAACTGTTCTGGATGAACACTGGTTAAAAGGGGGCCACACAGCTTTGTTTTGTCTTTTTTCCAAACGCCACCCTTCGCTAAGGCAAGAATACACATCATTTTAGAACAGAATGCTACAGAAGAAAGCTACATCACAGCACAGAAGGTAAAAATCCTCTTCATCTGGAACCACAGCGGAACAGCGCGGCACCCACGCTGATGGCTTTCCAATGCTGGCTTCAGTGACAGCACTGGTCACAGCTTTATTTTTCTTTCAACCAACAAGCTTGGAGCACACCTTCTCAGGAATGTGTGGATGGGCCCGTATGTTGGTATTATAGTCATTACAACATGAAACAACATTGCACAGTCAACCTCCAAGGCTATTCAGTATAAAATAACAAGTATTAAAATGTACCTTGTACAGCTTGTGGCTGTATGTCGCATACATCACTAATAAAGAAAGAGAGGCAAGTGCCCAGTTATAAAGCACAAGTTACAGGCATGACTTACAGGGGGAATAAACACAAGAATTTGGGCAAAACATTTTAAATAAATGGTTCCATGGGAGCACACTGAGCCACAGGCAAGCCTAAACCCAAAATCAACCGGTGTCAAGAGCACATCTCACAAGACTCTTGAGTACTTACAGATGTTACAGCGACAGGGGTGGACGAGGAGGCTCAGAGGACAACGAGGCAAATGTTCCCAATGCCAGTTAATTCCTGAGGTGGCATTATTTCCTAACTGATGCATTGATCAACATTGGAAAGATGAGTTGTGCTATGAAACAGTCCTCACAGGTGACATTCCCCCAATTACCTTGCAGAATTTGAAGGCGGTAAACCTAAGTTAGAACAGCCGATGGACTATGGATTCTTTTCCATTTTGCTGGTACAGTTAGCAGAGGGTGGGTCAGGAAACAAAGGTCAACATTGACTTGGTAAAGATTTAATTTTTTTCCCTCAGCACTTCTTAATCAGCTCAAGCAAAACTACTATTTATTTTCATGTACTTTATTTTCAAGAGTCTAAGTGCCAACCCTGTAAACGTTTCGCATCTTCTCAACTACACCTTGTTTGACTCCAAGGCCGAGAGCAAAGAGGAGCAGGAGTAATCGAACTCACAGACCTGCTCATCAGCTCTGGCTTAAACTGAGTGTGACTGTAAAATAACTGTATGAAGTCCATGATACAATTTGAAAGACGATTCCTGTGCATTTTTAATCCTGGACAGTTTTCAAAACAGCATGACGGAAGTAAGAATTTAAAAAACCCACCAGAACGTAAATAACCGGAATACATTTTCAACTCAAAGCATTAAATGTACATTTATGTGCGGAGATCTAGACAACTATACAAGTTTTTAAGCAATCATAGTTTATTTTACAACTCTATGAACAGAAAATGAACAGAAATACACAATATACTTACCTGTACATGTGAACCTACTTTTTAAGCTACAGATTTTTATTACAGCTCATACTGACTTTGATTTTACAGTTCATAACTATGTATAACCTTATTGCATTAAGGGCAGATTCTACATGGGAGATTCACAGGCGGACCACATTAGGCATTACCAGTACATTCAAATGTGGATGTATCATCCTGATCCTGCAAATTTAGATATCTTTACAGCTTAAGCTCGTTTGCTATTTTGGATGCAATGTTCTTAAAGGCAATAGATGTCCCAGATATTCGCTTGAAACGGACCCCATTTAGTGACAATCGAGGCAGCTTGCAGACCTCCATCTCCCACTGCACGAGGCTATCCTGTCTAGCATCTCCGTGCACACAGAAAAGCAGAAACCTTTCTTTTTGTTCATAATCACAGTTGTTTGCATCTAGCACTTTCCGGATTTCTCTCATCATGTCATTCGGGTCCATGGAGCTGGTGGTCTTCATACTCCACGTGAACCGCAAGGAACGCGGCTTGGAATCTTTAGCCTCATCTTTGTCTTTTGGTTCCCCTGATGTACTTCTAGAAGAGGGTGAAGGGGAAGAAGGAGAAACACAGTTCTACTCAGTGAAGAATCTGCACAACCACAACATCTCAGTGATTATAATTCAGCTAATGAAACTATCCAGTTTGCAGTCAACTCAGAGATCCAGATTCATGTTATCTTTCTGTGGTAAAAACTGTAAACAGCTGGAAGATATCCTATACTCTGGCTTTTAGTATCTTCACTCTAAAGCAGCATATTTTCTTAAGTGCACTTGTTCCTGGCAAGGAAATGTGCAGCTGAAAGTGAAGAATTTAATATTTAAAGTTCTTTTTCTATATTTCTTGGGTCAATTCTGCAGAAAGATTCTCTATTTTCTGTACACACACACACACACACACACACACACACACACACACACACACACACACACACACACACACACACAGTGTGCACATATGACACCACTTCAGCTGTCAACTTGACACCCCTGGGAAGAGGAATTTCCTTCATTGGACTGGCCTGTGGTGGTGTCCGTGAAGCATGTTCTTCATTTCTGATTGATAGCAGAGGGTCTGGCCCACGGTGCACTGTCTAGGGGAAGCAAGCCAGTGTGTGGTGCTCCTCCATGGCCTCGGCTTCATTTCCCTACTCTGGGTTCCTGCCTTGGTTTCCCCTGATGATGGACTGTAACCAGTAGGCCAAATAAACCTCCTCCTCAAGTTGCTTTTGGTCAGTGTTTTATCACAGCAACAGAATGTAAACTGGGATGACACATATACACATACAAACACACATGTGCACATACATACATGCACACATACACACGTATACATACACACCCACTTTGAGGATCACAGGGATTCTCTTCATAAAATGCACTTGAAATAGAAATCAAGTTCCTTTTTCTTTCTCTGTCCTTTTTGTGTAGGAACGTAACAACCACAGAGGAAGCAGTTTCTGACAGCCTGAGATGTTCTGCTCATCACAGCACTACCAATAAGCTCCATGGTCGCTAAAGGTGTCTATAAACTAGTCTGTACCACAGTGGTGGCTCCCCCGTCTCTACTCCCAGCCTTTGTCTCTTACATTCCTCTTTGTTCCCACCGGCGTCTAAACTGTTTCTGACTACAACGGCTATGCTCCCCTCTCCAGGCCTCTGCATAGCGAGGATTTACTTCCTGTGGGTGCTACATGGATAATTCTCTTACTCTATCCCAGTCTCTGTGTACTTTCTCTATTAGGCTCCCCCAACCACCCCACTGCACCCTAACTCCTAGCCTAGTGTGTCACTTTTTACCCTACCCCCCATTTTCCTGTTTGTATCATTCTAGTCCTCCACTTAACCATTTACTAGGGTTCTGATTGTCACCTGACTCTACCCTGGATCAGTGGCTCCAGGATTTTGCCTGCTTTATTTCCTGACATGCTCCAGGCATCTAGCACTACGCTGGGCACACAGTAGATGACTGACACTGAGGTCTGCTTATGCAGATCTCTCACAAATAATACAGAACCAGAAAACCATCTCAAATAATCACAGGAGGGTAAGATCAGTGGGTTACTCATGATATAGACTGCCCTGTGTTTAATATGCTGAACAACTATCCAATCACAGACAAAGGTTACAATTTTTACCTGTTAAATACAACTCACTTATTTGTGATTTAAGGAAGAAATTGTATACCTTAAAACAAGTTTGTAGTTTTTTCTAGAAACATATACATTTACATGTATGTAAGAGTAGAAAAATACTGTCTCCTTTATTCCTAGGAATCTGAGCCTCCAAAAGGCCACAAACTTCAGTCTTAAGAAAACAACAAATACACAACAAAAACTATTAAATAAACATAGAAAGTATTCATCTCACGGTCTTCTCTATTTTTCTCCGGGGAAAACCCAGAATGCATGTCAGGGCCAAGTTTTAAAACATGGTCCAATATTGACTGCTCACCTAAACATATTACTATATCAAACCTTCCTTCATATTTATAGTCTATGCTATATGACTCAGGCTAATTTTAGTTACAACATATTAAAAAGAAAAAGAACACCACATTTTAATTTATTAATTTTTCTATTATGACTTATTTTACAGAAGAGAAAGCCTATTTCTTCAAGTATATAATTCAAAGTAATATTTGTAAGTCACAAACTTAAAGTTAATGAACTTAAATTTCATTAGGGGCTAGGCAACATTAGGAAACCCCATCCCAATATAAAGATTTAAGATACATATGCTGTCAAATTCTCAGTTCTGCTCGTGATCATCAAGTGCTGTGAGTATCTAGTACGTGCTCCCAGCAGCCCCCACTCCTCACCTGGCTGTGTCGGCTCGACCACTGGCTTCACCTTCATTTGGATCCCTCAAAAACAAAGAGAAGCTGAGATTTAATGATAAAAGCAAAAAAGAGATAAAGAAAACCAACAACTAAAATGATTCCAGAGTTAACTTGTTCAGCAGACAGACTTCTACCATGACAGTTTCCTAGGACTGCTGGGTCTGATACAGTCCTTCACGTTCTCAACCATAACCATGTGCTACTGCCATTTCTTGAGCATCTACTACATATTGTCAAGAAGAGATTTTGGGTGAAAATTTAGTTATTCTTTTTTTTTAAACATGATCTTCCAATTTCCAGCCATAATTATAACCTCATAATTTATCTTTGTCTCAGTTTAGAATAAACTAAGATTAAATAAGATTAATAATTATCAACAGCAATATTAAACTTCATGTTATTACATATAATTCCAGTAGTCACCCAACTAAGAAAACAGATGCTAGTTTACTTCATAGTTAGAAGTAAAACTCAGGCAGGTTAAGGAGCTAATACTATAGTTAGAAAGGACTTAGTAGAGCTGGGAGATGACTCAGTGGGAAAAGTGTTTGCTATATAAGCACTAGGACCTGAGTTCAGAGGAAAGAAATAAATCGAGGAAGAGAGTCCAATATGTTTTTCTAAAAGTAAATACCAATTTAAAATAGACAATGAACTTATTTTAGAAATTTTGGGGCAGGGTGTGCTGGGTGGTGCACGCCTTTAATCCCAGCGCTTGGGATGCAGAAGCAGATCTCTGTGAGTTTGAGGCCAGCCCTTTCTCCATAGCGAGTTCCAGGACAGCTAGGGCTACAGGGAGTCCCTGTCTCAAAAAGACTAAAAAAGAAATTTTGCTAATAATTCATGCATAGTAAGTCAACAGTCTGTCCAAGCAGTTGAATCTAAAAACATGGACTGAATTACAAATAAACAACGATCCTACCTGTATATCCATGTCTGAAACAAACAAGAGAAACACTGCTAATTGTGTTGCACTGAAGGTGATTCATATTTTTTAAGTCTTCCAAAACTCTAACCCCTTTGCCATTTTAAAGGTGATTGGATATCTCCAGAGGAGGCCTAAGTTACAACCTAACTTTAAAATGCTAAAAGGTGGATTGTGATAGAACAAACTACTTTAAGGAGCTAGGAAAACCATCAACTTGAACTCTTAAGGTTGTCTTAATATCTGAGCCATTTCACAAATGTAGTTTTTTAATGTAAAATGAACACAACAGCATTAAAGTCAGTGTCATTTTTCCATCTACCAAATTAGTACAATACTTCTACACATTAAACTTAAATCAGGTTATTAAAAATCACAAGTATTGGGGCTGGATAAATGGCTCTGTGGTTAAGAGCACTGGTTGCTCTGGCTAAGTGCAGGGGGGCCTGAAGCCGAGGACAGGGCAAGATAGTGCCTAGAGGAAGTGGCTGGGGCGCGGCCAGACTTGTTATGAAGAATCGCTGATTGGCTCCTGCCATTTCTGTGCATCTTGGCAGCGCGTAATCACTTCGTGAACGCTATGCTGTGCTATGGAGAGGAGACTGCATGCTCAAGTTGACCTTTAATATGATTGGACACTTGGTTGGGGAGGGGATTTTCCTTCGTGGTTTTTGCCTTCATAAGCCCTGTAACACCTGCAATAAACGAGTTCCTGCTTGACTGGCTCCCTGTCACATCTGATTGTCTCCCTAGACAGCTCACCTCCCTTTCTCCAGCTCCTGTGTCAGGGCAGGACCCCTGACATCTGGCGCCCAACGTGGGGCTCAAAGACCACTTGGACCTGGTATGGGAGCTGATCGCCAGGGCTAACTGGGTGAGTATTGAGGGAAGTGAGACCTCAAGAGATGGGTAACGCAACGAGCAAGAGTGAGGACCCGGCGCTCACGGCGCTGAGACACATGTTGAGATCCAGGGGGTTAGAACAGTCCGATTCCTCATCAAAGAAGGTCTGGGAGGCCACCCTGCGTCTCGCTCCCTGGCTGCCCGCTGGCAATTTATTCCAGTGGGCTACCTGGGGCCAGCTTGAACAACTGGCTTGCAAGGCAGAGATCAATAGAGGGGAGCAACCACCCTTGGGGTTTTACCCCACGATCTCACCCTTAAGTCATGTTTTCAACCTGATCCGAGCCCCGGGCATACCAGCCTTTGCCGGGTAGATAAGACCACAGGGGAAGACCAATGGGTCGCGTTTGATGAGGGGAGAGCCCAACGGTCAAAAGTGAAACCAAAGCACATGCTGTGGAGAGATCTGGAAAGGGGGGGTGACAAGAGTGGGGGAGAAAAAGGGGGGACCCTGGGCAGTCGGGATGAACATGAAGGAGAGGAGCCCTCCACTCCCACAGCCCTGGGTCCAGGCTTTCCCTGTAAACATCAACCCCAGACCCCAGCGCCCGGCCACCTGGTACCCTTGGGAGTCTAAAGATCTTAAGGAATTAAAGAAGGAGGTGGCTGAGGAAGGCCCTGGGTCCCCCTGAGTTGACACCCTTCTCCAGGGCTTGGTATATCAGCCCTATACGGCCAAAGACTGGATGGATCTAGCCAAGGCAGTCCTCCCCAGCTCCTTGTTTATTAAATGGGCGGCGGCACTATACTGAGAGGAATGTCGGGTCCAGGCGGAAAATAATCGTGCTGCCAACCCCCCCCATCCCTATCACTTTCAGCATGCTGACAGGGACCATGGATGCCTTTGCCACGGGCGCCCAGCAGGCAGAACTTCTGCCACCATATACGGAAAAGGTCAGGGCCCTCGGCCTCAAGGCCTGGCATAAGTTAGATACGGACCCTACGGAGCCGCCCATATCGGGGATCCATCAAAGCTCAGGGGAGCCATTACATGAGTTTGTAGATAGGGTTGTAAAGAGTCTAAAGAAAAAGTTTCCCCCCGGGCCACTCAGAGAACAGTTCATAAAAATGCTAGTATAGGATGATATGAACGCCGACCATAAGGCCACCTGCGCGGGGTTAAAGGACCATTCCATGAGCAGCTGGATCGTGGCCTCAAAGGACATAGGGACCAAAACAAAGGTGACTGAGGCTATGGCCACGGTCCTCAAGACACAGACAGAGGCTCTAGCTACAGCCTTTAGAGAAGCCCTCACAGGCCTTGGGCCACAGGATAGACGCCCCAGGGCTGAGGGCTGGAGATGTTTTGAGTGTGGCCAGCCCAGACACATAAAGAGAGACTGCCCGCAAGGGAAAGCCCCTCTCAAGGTGGAGGAGGACAAGTCCAGGGCCCTGTGCCCACGCTGCTGCAAGGGGTTTCATTGGAAGAAGGACTGCCGGTCCTGGTATGATGTGGAAGGCAAACCTTTAAACTAGACTTGGGGCAACCCCCAGCCCCGTCACCCAAAGGGGGAGGGCGCACAGGCCCTGGAGGGCCTACTGCCCACTGGACAGTCCCTATCATCCCGGGGCTCTGCCCTAAGATAGACATCTTGCCTGATAGGCAGAGGTTCCGGGGCATTATTGACACTGGGGCAGATAGGACCATTCTAAGGAAAGAAGAAGTCCCTGGAAGATGGCCCCTCGAGCCTGGCCCACAGGTGATGGGTGTCGGCAGCACCATGCCATCATGGGAGCTTAAAAACTGGCTCTGTTGGCGGGACCCAGATGGTACTAAGGGAGAGATTAGACCTTTGGTGACTGAGGGGCTTTCCTACAACCTCTTCGGGAGAGACCTCCTGGGGGGGCAGATGTTTTTGTGACCACAGACAATAGGGAGTTTATTGAAAGGCTCCTCGATGATGAGGAAATTAACAGGGTTAGACACCCCCTTGACCACCTCTCAAACTACAGGGGGGAGGAGTCCAAGTCTCCCTGGGTCCACCCCAAATCCTAGAGGCCGCCATTCCTCAAGTTCCTGCAATCTGGATGGTCCCCAGGGAGCCCAGGTTGGGTGGAACAGTGGCCCTTGCCCGAGACTCAGCTCCAGGCTTTGAGGCATATTATACAGGAACAACTTATGCTGGGGCATATCTGCCCCTCCATGAGCCCTTGGAACACCCTGTTTTTGTCATAAAAAAGTCATCTGGCCAATGGAGGATGCTACAGGACCTCCGCAAGGTCAATGACAGAATAACCCTGGAGGGAGTCTCCTTGAGGGGACTTCCCTGGATACCCGCTATCCCCTTAGATCTATTTCTCATAGTTATAGATATCAAAGACTGCTTTTTTTCTATCCCCCTGCAACCCCAAGATTGCGAGAAGTTCGCCTTCTCTGTGCCTTCCATCAACTTTAGCATGCCTGATGAAAGGTATGAATGGACGGTCTTGCCCGAAGGCATGGCCAATAGCCCAGCTTTCTGTCAGAGCTTCATAAGGGCTCTCTTGAGCCCAACAGAGTCTTTGCCACATGCTACTGCATATGCCTACATGGATGATATAATTTGGGGGACACCAAATCCCCACCAACTGCAGGAATTATATGAGCTCACTCAAAAATGCCTCCAGGTGGGAGGGCTTCAAGTGTCCATGGACAAAATACAGACTGTCGCCCCCTTTAAGATTCTGGCGACTACATTGTCCATGGAAGGGGTAAGTCTGTTAAAGCCACATCTGACTATTAAACCTAATATGACCCTGACAGAACTTCAAAAACTATTGGGGGAGATCATTTGGCTACGATCCTGGATGCCTGTCTCCACTGAGACACTGGAGCCCCTATTCCAATTGTTAGTAGGTAAACAGCCGTCAGAGCTGATTCATCTGTCCCCACAACACCTAGACATTTTACAGGGGGCCCGCTATATGCCTGGAAAGGACCTCGAACTATGGGTGCTCCCCGGCGAGGCCCTGATGACATCCGTCCTCACACAAGGGGGGAAGCCCCTCAAATGGGTACATACCTCCCTAGGGGGCACTCCACGGGTGTATACACCCACAGACCAGTTGGCTGACCTAATTGAGAAAGGACAGGATATAGCCCTGAGATATTCTGGCATTGACCCCCACAAGATTATTATCCCTTATTGGCTAAAGGACTTTAAATGGCTTTGCAAAAACAACAGCGAATGGCCATAGCCTTGGAGGGCTTTCTGGG